CTCTGCACACTCAAGAGTGTTTAAATGCACCAGGCAGTAGATATATGCTGTATTTAATTAGCAATTACTTATAAAAATGGTATTAGTATTTTATAATGTTGACTTGTGTGCTCTGACAGCTTGGTTGGGTTTTTCTGGCTGGGAGGAAGGATGGCAGCACTTCCAGATGATCTGTCTCTGAGAGAGGAAGATCATTCTCTGAGTACATAAACAGTATGAATATATATGCCACGAATATATTTATAAATATGGTCAGGATAGGATCTGTTTAACCAGGAAAGGTCAGGATTGAGCCCTCAGGAATCTCATTTCAGACAAACCCAAGCCTGCACTTCTATCACTGTTTACATGTGCTGGCTCACATTTCACAGTGGAAATTGCCTCTATTAGAGTTTATTTTATACTTTGCTTGCAACTGGAACTCAGTAATTTTTTAATATATTGAGTTCTCAGACCTTGGGACATTGCTGTGCAAGGGTGTTGTACCTTTGAAAATCACCTCAGTCCTTGTGCAGTCCTGGATTCCAGCACCACCCCAGAACCCCAAATTTCCCAATTTTTCTGCAGTTCTTTTTAAAAACGAGCAAATAGGCTGTGTTCTTATCCAGCTCCTGATTTGTGTAGCTGCTGATCTTATATGCTTGGGTGGCAGATGGATGGTGCAAGCTGTAAAATACTAAGGCAAAGAAAGGGGTAGCCTGTGAGATTACTAATCAATTTTCCAAAGAACTGTCTCACAGAAGGGCCAGCTGTAAATTGTTTCATATTTCTTATTAATTTACACAAAACCATCTAAGGTGACCTGCTGGCATCTGTCTGTGTTGATTTTCATGTATTTTATTGGTCTTTTAGCACTGCTTCTATTGCTCATCAGCTACTCTGAATGTGTCTGAAGTTTCCCCAGGAAAATAAAGATGCTTACGGTGGAGATGATTTCCCTCATTTTGGGACACATTATATTTATTAATTTAATGCTGGATCTCTTCATAATTTCTGCTTTGGAAAGCGTGAGTGGCAATTTAGGCTCTCTTGTGCTGGGTGCTCTGCTTCTTAATGGGACATATCCTGACAGCCAATCTCATGTACTGGATGAAAGAGATAAAACGTGGGGAAGAAAAATTATCAGCAGCCTCTTTCACAGAGACAGAGCTGAGCAAGGGAAGACTTGGTTAATCACATAAAATAATCTGTGCCATGGTCAGGGGATGAACTTTGATGTTGGGCTCTTCTTCTCAAGGCCAGGCACACACACATCCATCCTCAGTTTCAAAGGAATAAAGATGAATCTCTTGGAAAAAGCCAGAATTAATTGAGAGGAAACAGAAATCTGCTAAACTGGAAATATGAAAGTTACTGTTGATGGGAGAAACATTAAAAAAAAAAGTCTGTATATCACTTGCATTTTCTTAAATATTTCAAGTGATAGCATGTTTGATTTTGGAGTGTGTGGAAGATGATCTGTCAGCTTCTCTAACATTTGCTTTGTTTCTCAGAGAAGAAAGAAGAAAGTCTTGAAGTTTAAAAACAATAATTGAAGTTTGTTAATTTGCAGCTCTTTGCTTTTTCCTTCAAACAATTGCACTGTAACAGCTCAAGGAGGGTGTGTGATTGTTGCTGCAGCAACACTTGTCATGAAGAGATTTGCTTTTGCTATTAATACATCTGACGAAATCTCTGCAAAGCTTTCATAAAAAGCTCGTTGGACTTTTCTATCCATGTCTACAACCCAACATCTGATTATCCCCTTTGTTATTTCCATCAGGCACTAATAGTTTCACATGGCTTAAAAATTGAGGACAACATCCTCAGCTTCTCTTGAGTGGGAAAACTGCCTGGGCTCCCTCAATTACACCCACAAGAATCTCCCTCCTACCTCAGACAATAAAACCCATTTATGTCAGCAACAGCAAGATGCTGCTTCAACAGAAGGAAAATACCCCTTAAATGAATTTATTTTCTCTTTAACTTCCAATGCGAGTGTAATTTTTTTATAATAAGAGGAAAATCCTGGGTAGGAGAAATGGTTTAAATATTTAAATATGGAGATTAAACTAGTTGTTGTGAGTTCTGTGAAGTCAGCTCATCCAAAAGAGGTTTTGGTTTTGTTTGCCTGCTTTTATTTTAGGTAGCCCTTGAGAAGGCAAGCGGTGAGATGATAAAGAGAATTAGGGAAGACACAGCAAGCAGGAATTGGGGATGCCAAGAGCAAAGCTTGGTAACAACTCCTGAATGCACATGGGCTGGGAAGTTTGGATCTGTGATCAGTGACACCAAAACCTCAGGTGATTTATTCATAAAGGCTTTGCTCAGCTTTGAAGTCAGAGGGAATTTTCCCTCAGTAAGGGCTTCAAGATGAGACCCCAGATGACAAAAGGCACTGGATCAAGGAGGGTGCAGCAAGTTAGTGAAATGCAGGGTGGCACTTCTGCTCATTGCAAGTCGTTTCCCAGTCCTCAGCCTTGGCTGGGAGCCGAGCAAAGCAAGGCCTTCATTAGGAAATAATCACGAATTTCACCAAATAAAGACAATCTTCAGATCACTAAATTTACAGGGGGAAAACCCCAACCCTCTCCCATGACCAGACTTTAGCTGAATATTACAATATTTACAGCAAAGGATGTAAACCTTGATTGGGGGGTGGGGGGTGTTAAAACCAACACCAGCTCTTTTCTTTGCCTTTTATACCTCAACTACACCAACAAATCTTAATTTTTATTTGGCTTCAAGTCTCACTCCAGCCCTGAAGAGGAAGACTAAAGGCCCCTCACACCAGGATAATGAAGGGTGTGTGTTTTCTTCTGCAAAAACCTTGTTAACTGCTTCAGGAGCACTTTTATTTCTTGCATGTGTCTGCTGCAATATCTACAGGAGCTGGAGAATGAAACCCCACTTCACAGCCAGGTAGAGTTTTGCCTCTTTCTTTTCAGGGCTGCTCTCAAGGACAAGGGGTTATTAGTGGCCTTTCACTCTCCAGGGCAGGAACTTTTCAGGCTTCAGAAATTTTTACCCTGTTGAGTGAATGCAATCCATTGAAATTCTTTATTGCTTTCATGTTGCTTTGGTCTACTTCGATTTTTGAGAAAATAATTAACTACTGCTACTCAAGCCAGGAGAATGAAACTGGAAGCGCAAGCATAACACAAAGAAATCCTCAAATAACCTCGGAATAGTATGAGCTGATTTTTTATTTAGCTACCAGTTCTGAAAAATCGAGGGAAATAATTTTGGATTGGCTTTAACAAAAGCATTTTGAAACCTTTTGAGCCAAAAGCAAAACTGGAGGTTAGCTTGTGAAATGAAATCCTCCACTTGTTCCAGGCTTCTAAATACTTTGAGGTTGTCTAATACTAAATATTTTATAAGTGAATACATTTCATTTAGTAAAACTTTAAAATTATTAGCTTGAACATCTTTTTCTCCACAAATCATATCACCTTCTTTCTTATTAAATAACTAGATGCAACTGGCAAAGTATCATATTAGCAATACAAGTGGATTTATCTCTGTACTTTTGGAAAAGAAATAGG